TACCTTGAGAAATTCATTAGCATTTTTACTGAACTAACACCTTCTCCCACTTCTCTACCAGCCCAATGCATTTCAGCCTTACGGAGACAGATGAGAGCGGCGGTTTGAGGACCGGACCCCCGGCCCAGGGGACCCTTCTGACTAAGACTCCTTGGTGTCTGCATCCCCCAGAGATCCGTCCCAGCAGACCTCACCGGTGTTCCTCAAGACCCGTGTCCGTTTCATGGTTTCATCACGTATCGAATGTGACCCACGGTACACCCTGCAGCCTACCCTAAATTGACAGCGAATTGTTGTCATAGACACATGCATAATCACTGGTCTCCACATTGCATCCGAAAGACCTATCAATTCTAACAGAGTATGAAGCAGATCGAGCCAAAGAACCGCGTTCCGAGGGAACCACAGCTTATTTTTGTGCTTTAGTGCTGAACAAATTCTGGGTTTGAAAGCAATCGTCAGGTCTGTGAGTGGGCCCGGTCAGTAAGTCACCAGTGACACGAATGTCCCATCAGACTGCTTCAACCAACACTACATTTTGTCAGAGCTCATAAAATCCAATGTGCAATTTCAACACAAAGATGGAGAGGTGGAGAGAGAGGGAGGGAGGGGCGGAGGAGCTGCTAGGAAGCCCATGCCCTTGTACCTGCAGCCAGACTAACACTATTACAGGGGTGGCGGCTGACATAGTTTTAAAAGTGACCTCTGCGACAGTCGAAGGCGCTCCCGAAAACACAAGCCAGTAGCGAAAGGCAGCTGTGGCCCCACCCAATCAAACCAGGACAGCTCTAAATGTGGAAACCTTTCGCTTTAAAAAAAATAAATAAATATAAAACCCACGACTGCAAAGAGGCTCAGGCCTTGAATACTAATGTTACCTGGCCCATGTAATTACTGCCATTCGTACAGCGGCCTGGCAGTCCCAGTACAGCTGTTTGCGTTTTGTACCGCAAGCATCTACTGAGGAAATCCTTCAGAAAGCATCACCTGCATCAGAGAGTCTCCGACACTGTCGTACCAAAGGGCAATGGCATCTGTTATGGTGTATAATAAGAAAAGGTGTAAGTGATACAACAAGAAGGGCCACCAGCTAACTGCATCATCACGTGGTAGAGGGCCGGCGACCCCCATCTCCCACCCTGCTATGGCGCGGAGAAAGCCTGAGTGAATATTCAAAGTGATGTTGTCAAGCCGCATATATTTTTAGCATCTCCAGCCTGTACACTGGTCATCCGCTCCGTCTGACTGCGTCATGCCCTCCTGGTCATTTGCCAGTCGCTGACATTTTGCATTAAATGGCACAGACGGGCAACGAACCAGTCACAGGAATGCTGGTAATTCCGGTTGTCATCAGTGCTGTGGTGCAGGGGTGGCAAGGCGGACTAAGTGTTTTGTCTTTCCTTGGCTGCATAAACGGAGTGCATCAGCCTTCATTTAACCGACCAGAGTAATGAGTATATAAATCAGCAGACCTGGTGGCTTGGCAGGCTGAAATAAGACCAGTTTTAAGGGGGCCTCTTCAGCAGAGGCGAGAGCTGCTCCTGTTCAAAGCTCTGCTTTGAAAGGGGGGCATGCGACCAGCAAGTCGAACCTGGACTCACGCAGGTGGGCCAGCTGATGCAAGTAACAAAGGTCGACCATAACATCAGACCCCACCCACATCTGGTGCATCTCCACCAGGTCCTCCGGAGCCCTTGAAGCTGCCCCTCCAAGGGGGTCATGAGAAGAGACAGACTGCCACAATTGGAGGCTGACTGTGAAGGGCCAGGGGGGGGGGGCTTTAGCTGCTTGTTGCTGTCAAAGGCTGGCAGGGCTACGTGACAGGATGGCCTACATAGCGAAACCCCATCTGACCGTGTCTGTCAGGGTCCATGCCCCCCCCCCCACAAACAGAGCGCATGAAAGCGAGCCATGCCACACAGCGCCTGGACAATAAGCAAACGTCAGCGTCTGGCACTATGAGGCAGAGGGGCCCCATGCTGCGAGCACTGAGCCGAGCTGGGATCTGGGGTGGGGGGGGCAATCAGGGTGCCAGCCACTGGATTACGGAGCCAGGGGATTGTCACTGGAAACTGAAGTAACCTGACTGAAAAGTAACTCTCAAACAAAAATGAAAAGTCACAAATATTAATTAGTAAACAAAAAAAAACATGAAGAAAAAAAAACAAAAATTAGTAATTTAAAAAATCATTCAGATTTGGTGAGTTCCATACAACAACAAACTTGTCAACATGATGCATTCACAGAGTTCACACGATTCTGAAAGCTATTAATTTCTTCAGACGCGAGCTTGCAGTAGATCTTGTAAACCATTAACTCTCTCACTCATTGCTGCCCCACACAAAACTGCAGACAGGAAATCCACAAGGTCTCTTAATTTCTTATTATACACCTAACAATGCATAAATGAAACAGAACAGAAAGACTGAACTCTGAAGGACGCCAATAACCCAGCTGGGAGACACTAACAATTATTGCGTCACACACCAGACGATGTGATGAAACAGTACCGGTCACATCGGGGTGTGGGGCATGCGAGTGACTGATACATCCGCTCTACTCGGAAGCAGGAATTACACAGGTGCGTGGGCGGCGCTTGCGACACTGCCGGCCGAGCGCCGAAAAGCCAGCAGCTCGCCACCAAACTGCAGAAAGCCCCTGTCGCACTGCGTGGGCTCGATGCAACCCTGGGCGACTGCACCACCTCGACACAGAGCCGTTTCCCGGAACGACAGACACTCCTTATAAATAAAATCCGGAGAATGATGGAGCACATCCTAATTTAACAGAAATAAAGCCATGTGAACACATTCACAGGCATTTTAAATAATCAGACCATGTATTTGAATGGCAGGTAGAAGAGTCAACAGGGAAAGGTCAGTTAGTCCTATGAGCTACCTGATAAATTGTACCTTACATTTAACCCATGGTAACAGACCAGCATACACCAAAGCTGACCACTGTCACTTTATAACAGGGAAAATAAAGATGGGTAAATATGCACCAACGGCACCAATCTAACACTGACCAAAGGCAATGGAAAGGAGGTCTTCAAAAGGCTACTCTTTTTGTGTGGTTGGAAGGTTCATATTTAAGATGTGATGAATGATGGCTCACTATGATCTACTGCTACCTGAATTAAAAGGGGCATTTTACAGGAAATACAACGGAAATAAGAACTTGGCTTTTTTTTGTTTTTAAGGAAACCCACAAGCCAGGAACTGCATGCTATTTCTGACATCAGCTTCCTCGACAGGAACGCAGACTTCGCAAAAACGGTACAAGAACGAGTATCACCACACACATCTACTTAACCATAAACATACCGAAAAGTCAACTATACTGAGAGCACAGCGGCGGCACTCGAAGCTTTAGTGCTATATTAGGACAGAAACTGCCCTAATTGTCGGGGAAATGGAAAATTGCGCATATCTTAGTGCAGAAAACAGCCCCAGATGACAATGTGGCGCATTCAGTGATACAGCTGATGGCTCTTTCCAAAATTCGGCATCCTTCTTCCAAGCAAAGTCGTCATTTTCACACGTATGGCTCAGTCATGAAACTGTTTGCCAAACTTACCAAAACAAACACCCACAAAACACTTCCTAACATTTCAATTGCTCAAAGACACTACCCATACCCCATTACTACCACATTCAGACAGTGACTTCATTGATAAACAGGTTTCATAAAGAATTAAAAATGCGACAGAATTATTGGTCCAATGTTAATGCAAGATTTATAATTAAACAGTCTGCTACACATCTCCAGACTGGCATATCCACTCTTGATCGTCTTCCCGGAAAACGTTTGACTTCACATCAATGTTGCAAGTCAAACACACAGGAACCTAGTGCAAGACATCTGACAACGGAGGAAGGCGTACATCTGCACGCATTTCATCACACCTGAAAGGAGGAAAGAATGTGCTCGCTGCAAAAAGCAACAGTCTGCAATCTTAATTGATACAACATTGACGCAGATCTAAGCAAAAATGAAAAGGTTCAGATACCCGAACGTAACAGCGCGACTCACATCATCAAATAAAATTGCAAATGATCTTAGAATAAACTGTAAATACAGCATAAAACGACGGACAAATTTTCCACTTGAACATGCCCTAGTTATGCATTACGCCGGATTTTACTGAGCACAAACAGAAAATACTATAACGGTTATCCAGTTGTTATTAAACTTGTTTTAAAATTATTATTAATTCATGTTAGCCCATAGTAATAATGACAGAAATAAAGAAAAATGTAAAAAAGACGCTGTAAATGGAATGTTCGTACATGCAAGCTGCATATGAGGGACAGGTATTATCTAGGATATTTAAATGATTGCCGGGAGGTGAGAGTAAATAAGCGCACGTCGCTAGCAGTCTGAGCCGCACAATAAAGATGCTGTTGTGAAGCACACAGGGATCAACAATGGGGGCTTGTGGCACCAGGGTGGGCCCAGGAATGTCATGTCGGGATCCACGCATCCGCATCCCAGAAAGTATCCCCCCAAACAATGGTAACCCTTCAAAGCCCAGACAACGGTAACCCACAAAGGGGGAGACGCTGCCGTGCTTCCCGACCCGCCGACGGCGAGAAGTTTGCATGCCTTAAAGTTGCTGCTGGCCGCATTTGCGCCGCATTGCCCCTTTTTAAACTCCCTCCTTGGAGCAGACGGTGCCGACCGGCTCGGCGCGGCGGTCCCACCTCCCCGTCCATCGCATCCGAACCGCACTGTCTCCGGCTGCCGTTTTAAATCACTGTGGACCTCGGGCACCGGAGAGCTTCCTTGATAAAACTCCCGTTAAGCTCTTTTCGCACAAAGCCCGCCGGCTGTCCGTCACCCACGAGCCAAAACGCGAGACGCGACGCTTCCCTCCGTCCACACACATCTTAATCTCACGCGCCCATTAGCCGCCTAGCCTGCTATCAATTAAAACGGCGCCCGCCGCCTCATAAAGCGAAGTAAACACGAAGTAGGGGGGTAAAATGACCCCTTACCTGGATCAAAGGCGTCTACAGCGCTGCAATTACGTATCCCATCATAAAGACCGCGCTAGGGGGGACTGTTTCTATTTTCGATGCTATTTCTGAGGTAGGCGCACAGACAGCTCCCTCCGCACCGCTGGCTGAGCGTAACAGAGGATGGCGGCGCCGCAGCGCGTTGGCGATGAGGCTAACGGGAGCAGCGCTGTAATTGACAACAGCTCCCAGCCAATCGGATGCGCCGCTTCCTCTCCGGCCGGAGGCGGCTGCTGCTCTGGCAGCTCGAGACGCGCCCGGCGGTGCGTGGTCCGTTACCGGCTGCCGAGGTCTCCGTTATGTTTATTTTGCTGCTGGACCGTCGGACGGCCCGAGAGTGCAAAGCATGCCCCCCGTCGTCCTGCTCTGGTTGCTTAAAATCGGGAGGCAGGTCGGACCCGTTTCCGAGCGCACGTGGGAGTTTTTACCTTTTTGTTCGGATAGTGTCGGCAATGTCGGCTGGGAGCCCTGCTGAAGTTGTATTATTTGCAGTTGGCGTTTAATTTGGGGGAAAACGTCGTCATTGACCACTATTTTTAAAGTACTTACTCATGTATATGGTATCTGATTATTATTATTATTATTATTATTTAAAAAGTGCAATACAGTGTGGAGGAAAAATCTGACACATCAGAGTCGTATTGATGTAGTTCATTTTTCTTTCCATTTGTGTAGTGGTTTAACCATGTTTACCCAGTACCCAAACCATATATTGGCCTAAGAGCAGTTATAGGCCAATATATAGCCTAGTCATCAATCTCCTTTTGATTTTCCCAGTTTTCCCTTAATCGGCTGTTTCAATATAGTTTAAGAACTTAAGTGGACAATTTTCTCATTCAAACCAATGCATTGTTAGAGTTCATTCCATCTCACTTAAATCATCACTACAAAATTGAATTGAAACATTTGCTGCATTTGTCTGTACATAAACACATGACAATTAAGGGTAGATAAAACCAAAACTAAACGTTTATCTTTGGAAAAATGAAATACTAACTTTGAGTGCCCTCTGCTGGTCAGACTCAATAAATGGAATTATTTTCGGATTTTTATTTAAATGCTTTAAATGTCAAAAACTAGTGACGTGAGCGTTTTTGAAAGTACCGAGCTGCCGTGTCTTGTTAGCTACATTTATCACTTTCAATCTTGAAATAGTTTAGCACTGTTAAAACTCTCCCAGCACTTTGTGTCTACCTATTCTGTAATTACGGCCATAAGAACGACAAATGCTACCATTTGCTTACACTTTTCTTATCTCATCTCATTATTTTGCGTTGTATAGCGAAATACAGCTTAATTGCTGAAACTGTAATTTTTCCCAATGCGGACATTAACGGCCGAATAGGAGACCGGGGTAGGAATCATTAGTCTGAGGGAGACTGCAGCTGTTGCCTTTGAGGACTTTCTGCTGCTGTCTAATTGAAATCCCAGTTGTCTTATATCTTTACAGCAGCCCGCGCCAGCTACTCACTGCACGCTCCAGTCAGTAGCTCCAAGGGTCCTGGCGCCCGCTCGCAACCTGACACCCGTTTCGGCTGGATAACCTTGAATCGACGATCACTTAAGAGTGTAAAGAGGCACGAACAAAGGACGGCACCCTACTGTAATTGTGTGGTTAAAAAAACCCTACACATTAATGTCCAGTCAACCATATGATAACACAGTATTTAATTTTGATGTGTGATTCATACTTTTTCAACAATAAAAACAATGGCCTGCGCTCAATATTATAACACAGGGGAAAAAATCCAGACCGTAAAAATAGAGAAGCTGTATGTCACGTTGATATATCAAAAAAGGAAAATTAAAATACCACTTTTGTCCATAGGGTGGCAATGGTAAGTTATAAAGTAAGCAAAGCGTTCGTCTGTTTTCAGCAACAGCCACGTATCCAGACTAAAGAGTTTATGATGGAATGCAAAAGGCGAAATGCAGCGCACACCCCGGATTGCATCTGCAGTGCACTAAACCACCAGGAATCGAAGACATTCAACCTCCATAACCTCTTGTCCAGTGGAGGGTCGCAGTGGAGTAGGTGAAACAATCCTTACTTAACAACTAAACTAAAAACTAATCATAAACTTATTTGGGTTATTTAAATGTATTCCATATCAATGGTGTTAGATATGATATAATCATATGTAATAAAGTATTGTTAATAGATGTAAGAGAACATGCTTTATGAATATATATGTTGAGAGTTCAAATTTGTTATAAATAATCCATTTATCCAATAGCAAAATAAACAACATGGCAGCACTGTACGGGCACCCTGTTCAGAGTGTACCTCAGCCTTCTGCCTTATGTTGCCTGTGATAAGCTTGAAAGGTCCACAGCGACACAGTATCATCCAAGGTAAATCCCTGCCTCATTCCTGGAGCTTCCAGGATAGGTTCCGGAACCCCCCCCCCGCCCCCCCACCTGCATTACTTACTTCTTCCGCAGTGCCGAAAGGCTCTTTGAATGATAGATGTTTATAAACGTGATAAAGTCCAGCTCACACTCTAGTGTGTATTCACATTTCCTCCTCACTGTATGCACCTCCTCACTGTATGCACTTCCTCACTGTATGCACTTCCTCACTGTATGCACTTTCTCGCTGTATTCTACTTGTCTATGAGACAATGTCCTCACATACGCTTTCCTATATTTAATGTCCAGGATCCCTCAGGCTGAGCTGACGCAATACGGACACATCCACAGGCGCCGAAATCACCAATGCACTTACTTTCATTCCAGAGCAAAAGGGCACATCGACGTCATCAAGAAGGTTAAAAACATCCTGTACTTTTATTACAGTATTCAAAATATACAAAAAAAACCACAATAATAAATATGACCAAAAAAGTCCAAAAAAACACTAATATGTCAAATACAACATTATGGATGTTTATATAGTTTTGTGTTTGACTGTAGTTGTTCTGGATTTATTTATTTTCTGCTTTTTCAGGGTTTTGTAGGATAAAATATATTTTAAAAACCTGTGACAGGAGCTAAGTGGGATTACAAAGACAGTGGAATGCGGAGCAGGCCTTAGGCTGACTCTAATGGAGAAGGTGTCACTCTGGTCTTCAGGCAGAGCCGATGCGAATTTTACTGCAGCTCTCAGTCACATTTTTAAGTGGTGGTTTGAATATGCAGTCTCTGTGATTATGTTAACACTTATTATTTAATCATCAAGACTGTGGCCCGTGAGAACAGGAGTTGTGCATCTTATGAGATAAGGAGTATTCTGAGTAATCTGCTGGCACACAGTATTGCCCAGAGAAAACATCAGCACTGTTACTTTGAGACCAGTATAACAGGCATGTGGATTCTGCACTTTGCTAATGTTACAATGTATTAAAAGTGACCATATCATTATGTTAATGGATAGGCTGAAGCTCTTTACTTTAATGAAATATCATGATTGATTTCTCCTGTATGAAATAGTTTTTTACATGATTTCTTGGACTGCATATAAACTGGAGTGATTATGATTATTTGAAATAAGGTTTTATTTTTTAACCAAAAAGTAAAAAAAGTATGGACTACTGAAAAATAGTATTGTTTCATTCTGATCACAACAAAGACATTACAGACACGGATCCCGTGATCCCGACAGTCCGCATAGCACCTGGCATCAACAGATTTGTGTCTACTGTAACATTTTGTAACATTATTGTAAAATTATTGTAAGTGTAAATTCTGTAATGACCTTCCAAGGGACATTCACACATATATTCCCTTTGCTCCTTTAATAAGCACTTTGTGATTTATGGTTCACTGCACACAGAAAGGGGAAGACTTTCAGGGGCCCAAATACTGGGGCGAGTGCCTTGGAAAAACGGAACTACTGCTCTGCTGGAACCTGCTTGGCAAATTTTATCATCAGCACCCCCCCCCCCCCCCCAAAAAAAAAAATGGGCCCCAAAAAGAATTGGGGGGCCCATTCAGTAGAATTATCTTTGTCTTTGTGTGGTCCTGACCATGGGGGGGGGGGGGCTCAGATGATGACCTCCAGGGACCCCGGGGCTTGCTTGTAGAGGGCCTTCTCTGCAGCATCCTCTCTGTCAGGAGGAAGACATTCTGCATTACAGTGTTTCCATGGAGACGGGCAATTTCCAGCACTGTTTGACTAATGTTGTACCTTAATTTCCCTGTAGGGATTAATAAAATATTTTTCTGTCTGTCTGACTGACTGTATCCATCTATCCATTATTCATCATCCATCCATCCATCTGTCCATCATGTACAGCTCTGTGCTATGTGTCACCTCCACTGAGAGGAGTGACAATGACACAAAATATGTCTGGGTGGCTAGTTGTTCTGAAGACCATGCTACGTTAACTGTCACATAGGCCACTAGCTTCTTGGGGGACAATGAACAAAAGATGTTTTCTAGAGTAGACTACAGTAAAAAATCCCCAAGAAAGCAAATAACCAAATCTATTCAAAGACTACCTGCACTGGGTCTGCTCCACATCCTTGATGGTGTCGGGCAGGGGCTTGCCGGCGGTTTCGGGCAGCATCAGAGCAAGGGCAGCCCCCACCAGGGGGCAGATGCCAAACACTGCCATGGGCGCCTCCTTCCTGTTGCTCGCCAGCAGGTGCATGATGGGAGAGACGATGCCTCCAGTGCGGGCGCACATGGACGACATGCCCATGCCGTTTTGCCTGCAGCAGAAATGGAGGTTTCAGCAGCACCTACTACATGCCAGAGGAACTCCTCACCTAAAATATCCACATTAAATATCCATGAAATAACCTTTGATATATATATATATTTTAATGTAGGAGAAACTAAAACAGAACTGATATACAGTAGCTGAATTCAGGTATTCAACTAATTAAAATCAGGAAAGTATCTGAAGTGCCTGAAAATAACCGGATTTTCAGAGGTTAAGGGCCAAGAGAAATATCTGTCATGTGTGGCCTGCGGTATATAAATCAAAGAGGATTAAACATACAAAGTAAAATAACAAGGACCAATAAAAGGTCTTTTTATACAGTGATGTACATTTTTTTTTGGAGAAAACTGGATCAGACATCGTTTGGGTTAAGGCCCTGGCTCAAGGGCCTAAGAGCAAAATCACTCTGCCAGCCAAGGGATTTGAACCGGCGACCTTCTGATCACAGGCACGATGTCTTAAACCATCGAGCCCCGTATCGCTCCCGCTGGGTCTCAGGCTGTTACTATGCCTACTGTGTGTACAGTGTCTCTGCTTCATTTTCCAGGAAACCCACAGAATAATCCAGAAGATGCAAGTATCTTTCTAGGTAAGAGTGAGGGATCCCCTATCTCATCCAGTGCAAGACCTCTCATGGAGATGCTTAGATGCTTAAACCACTGCTGAGTGTTGAGTGTCTCCGACCACAGGTCGTGTGCTTTCTCTCACGCAGTCAGTGTGTCAGCTGAAAGACAGACGTCTCCTCCACACGCAGCCCCCTGGAGACCGTGCTGGGACCCTCACCTGATGACTGTAGGAAACACCTCTGCGGAATAGATGTATATTACTGACACGGAGCCCGTGATCCCGAATTTTCCGATCATGGCCAAGAGAATCCTCAGAATGGGCATCTCTGCAAAGACAACATCGAAGGTGACGGCCCCAGATCAGACGGGCATTTCAGGAGATGTCCTCGTATGACTGAAGCATAATGTTCGGAACAACTATTCATTCACATAAGTCTTGGATGAGGACTGTGTTGAAAACTCCTTGTGGCCTCAGTTCTTTTATTACACCCATCTCTGCCATTGTAACCGTGCCAGGGACCTTGGATATGCTTGCTTGTACACAAAAGAAAACCAGAATGGAACCAGTTTGTAAAGTCTGCATAATCTACCCAATGCCTGCGGGTGCCACATACATAATTGCAATGCAATACATGCAGTGATGTCATAGTTTGCCAACACTGAACTCATCATATGGTATTGCTTATATATTTTGTAAATATTATGGCTAAAGCACTTTCTGGATGGATGCAAACTGCATTTCGTTGCCAGGTACTTGTGACATGTGCAATGACAATAAAGTTGAATTCTATTCTATTCTATTCTATTCTATTCTATTTAGGCTCGGCCTTAAGTCCAGCATTATGAGTCCTGGAGGATCCTACAGGAGCACAATCACCAGAACTATGAGGCCTGAGAGGCCAAACATTACAGTGAGCTGGACCAAGACCACGCCTGTTCCTGGGGTAGTACAGGGGTGAAATATGGTTCTGGTGAGAACCTCAGTATCAATGCACCTGTCTGCATACGTATTTATCAGTGTAGACTGTGTAGCATGTATCTGTGAGCTCAGATTGTACTGCTGTGATTGAACATATGATGGACATCAACAGATTGAAATAAAATGGAATTATGGCGTAAGTTCTGTCATTATGTTAGTAAATTATGTTAATGACAGTAGCCTCACATGGGATTGCATCATATAGTATTGTTTGGCATCTCCACAGTATTTCAAGGGTTATGCATTAATTTATGAAATCACACTTACTGTCTGGAACAAAGATGGTTGAAAGGCATGCAAGACCTCCGGTAACAAAAAAGCAGATCAGACAGATCTTCCTGGATCGGTTGATGGTGAAGAGGATGATGGTGCGGGCAGGTATTTCCACCAGTCCAAAGATAAACTGGGTGAGGTAGATGTTCATGCCAAAGGTGGTGATGTTCAGAGACAAGCCATAATAAACCAGCGAATTAACAAACCTGAGGACAGCAGAGAGGGGCAAAAATAAAGAAAACGGGTTTGTTTTTGCAGGTCACAGTTGTGTACTGAAAAACAACAGGTTCTCTTTTCCCGCCTTTTTTTGCAGACAGGAAGAGCCTGACCGACAAACACAGAGTGCAAAAAAAAACAGGAAATGGTAAAAATGTGTGAAAGTACTGTCCCGTTAAAGGGCAAATGGAGCTGTTTGATGAGACACGTCAAATTCTAAAGCTTAAGAATTCTCAGATTTAAAAAAATATATTTTTCACAAGCAAAAACAAGAGCAAAGAATTCTCTGCATTAGGAATAATGGAAGCTTCTTGCGTCTGCAAACATATAGGTGTGCGTGTGTGTTCACATGTGTGTCCTTGCCTTTGCTCCAAGTCAACAAAGTTTCATAAATGAAACATGACCATGGCAAATTCAGCCCTCCCACTCTGTGGTGACACAGCGTGTGTATAAATGATCCTGTAATCACACGACATCACGGGAATAAAATGTGTGTTTCACAAATGCTGCTGGATGCAGATAATCACGACAAGCCTCATTTCATACCACAGCGAATTACCCGACCCTATCGCCACCTTGCCCATCCAGCTTGGTGTGTACTGAGTTAAGTGCTTATCCGATATGTCATCTGTAGCACATTACATCAACTAAATTTACAGCAAGCTGTGTCTTTGTTGTAATCAGAATGAAACAGCCCAGGTGATTGGGCAAAGGTAGGATGGCTAGCTTCCGAGAGCAATTTCAGCTACAAATAGCCTTTTAGGAAATGGTTGTGAAATTACCAGAGGTAGAACAATATCAGCGACCTCTTCCTCATCCTTGGGGTGCGGACGAGGTCAACCAGGGTGCCCTTTTTCTTCTTTGCCTCTCCGTTGAGCTCATTGGGTTGCTGTAAAGCAGATGGTAAGCGTGTATCTCATTAGCTTTGTGGATTGTCTTTCCTAGAGCCAATGAGGAAAATGCTGCGTAAAATGTTAGTTAGAGCACAGTACATAGATACTTTCATCTGATTCCACTTGTATGTTGGTCAAATACTTAGTAATAACTCAATTACTACTGAAGTACAAATAATAAACAAATCATGAACACATATAGTCGCTACCTGAGATTACGTCACGATTAATTAACGATGAAGTATAATGAAACGTGAGATCAGCGTTTCACTTGTGTTGTTCATTACTTGTTCCTTAATTAAGCCACAAAGGTTTACAGAATTAACAGATATAGTAACAAATATAGTAACAGCCTGAGATAAAACATGCGTCACGGTTCATTAATGATGAATCAACATGAAGTCAGTATGTAACTAAGACTTAGTTTGTGGTTAATTAATACATAAGTAATAGCAAAATACTATATTATTTGAGCCCTTTCAAGTAAAGTGTTGCCGTTTGTCTCAGTGAGAAATAAAAATTGGACCTGAAACAGCTCAAAATTGGGTGGCAGCGGGTTTCTGTTCCTTAATGCTGCTTTTTGGATTAGATCCACGGCTTCCTTCTTCTTCCCTTTGGTTATTAGCCAGCGAGCAGATTCAGGCAGGACCCTGTGGGCACGCAAGCAGCGGGTGTCAATGGTCAAGCTTTACATTAACCCAGGACACACATCAAGCTAGTAAACCAGAAGGGGATCCAGCTGTACATATGGAAACACAGGGAAAAAGTCACTGAGATGTTGTAAGTAAAAGGAGGGGCCTATACAGGGGCGGGGCCAGAGGGGCACTGGCTCTAGCTGAAAGCTTATTGGCCCACAGAGTGCCCCATCATCTGTCACTCACAAATTCAAAACATATCATAAAAAACAATTATGCCCCCCCCACCATCTTAAAAACATCATAGAATTGCCCCAGAGTAAAAAGATTGTTTTGTAAGAGATTCTGCAAGATCTGTTAACTTAAAGACCAATTCATATTTCACTGTCCCATGAGTGCTTTCAGTTGCAGATGAGAGGACGTGGCGTAAATTTTGTGGTAAATTTTGTTGGTGACACGGATGACGTAAGGACGTGTCTCACCAAATGTAGAAGAAAAACAGGAATTCGGGCAGAGATACGGCCAGCTGCAGTGTCCTCCAGTCACGGATCAGATACGCTACCCCCGCCAGCATGATGTACCCCAACCCAAAGAAGTAGTCGGTGAGCAGGCCAGCGAGCATCCGGTGCTTCTGCCCTGTCCATTCCGTACCTGCAGTCCATGTAGAAAAAAGGATGATCAAGATTCAAGACAGAGCAATTAGCAACCTTTAGCCTCAACTACTCATGACTGAGATTAATCCCACTTGACAATACCAAACCAATGTCTTGGGACGCTTGCTTAATTCAGTAAACATATAGCAAATTTATTGGTTTTATAACAACAAACGATTACATTCATACTAGAAAATCACATTAGAAACAACCAGTTGTTGTAAGTAAAACATTAATTTCAAGCACTAAAAGAACTAAAAACAGTTAAAAAGATTATTGACAAGCAGTCTCATTGGGTGCTTTTAAATTTTTAAAACCTTTGCAATAACAAACACCAGACATTTGTGTTTAGTGTTCCTTTGGGAGCCAGTGACTACAATTGCAACTAATAACAAAATAGCAAGAACAGAACTGAATGAGTCAGTCAAAAAAATTATTACAATAAAAAGAAAATGTCTGCGTGGATGATATGTGCAGATGTGTTAAACATTGCTTATCAATGGATTTTTGTTATGAAACCAAAAAATTTTCAATTTTTTTTACAGAATTAAGCAAGCATCCCAAGACTTTCTGTGAACACTGTATACCAGTCGGTCCACCTTGAAAGATTTAGCATAAGGGGGAGAGAAATTTTACTACCTGAGTAAAACAATAAAATGACATGGTGTTGAATATGAACTGACCTAAAACGAAGATGTTCATGATCACTGCGGAAACAGTCATTCCGACCACAAAGCGGAAGAACATGTAGGTACAGACATTCGGGGCAAAAGCGGTACCAACTCCAAAGGTGGCCTGAACGGCCAAGCCAACGAGAATGATGATTCTTCGACCGTATCTGGAACAAGACCAAAAAAAAAGAGACCATTTTGGGTTAAGCGACCAATGGGATCAATTTAAAAACAAAGTTACAGGAGCTGCAGAATGATTCCCACCTTTTCAAAGGACAGAACGCTTGTAATATATTTGACTTGGAGGCAAAATGTGATTTAAAGCGCGTTTCTAACTGAATCAGCCACAACACTCTGAAAACAGCTGTGACATTCTGTCACACAGAAAGATCAGATAAGACCGATTTTATACTGCCTTTGCAGGTGTGGTGCATGTGATCCTGGAAAATGCCTATGTAATATCTGGCTGCTTCATTGCCCCTTGAAAGGTTTCCACTGTCAGTCTGAAACTAACATTTACACCATGTATGCACGTTCTTGTTATTTATGGAAAAATTATGCAAGCAGCCTCATAACACTGCATGTGTACTGGAGGACTGTGTGCATCAGGCATGGCCTTACTGCCATTGTAAAAAAATTGCTTTACGGGATAGCTTAGTGAATGAATTTAATATACATGTCCTTTTTGGTGTGAGTCAAATTTCATTCCCAGTTAATTTTATTATGGAATTTAAGCACCATAACTGACAATTTTTTTAAAGGCAACTATGCAGTTACAGTACAGTAGCTTTGTAAGGCAATGCTTTGCTGATGCATGTGTCCTATCTGTCTGCAAAAACCAGGAGCCTTGGAAGAAGCTAGAGTTGCATTGTTATGTTCATTCTTACTTATCTGCCAAAACTCCAGACAGAAGAGCTCCGACCAGAAGTCCGAACATGTAGATTGATGATGCAATAGTGTTCAGTTTGGCTTTATTGCACACAAGATCCCACTGTGAACAGAAGAACGACACGTGGCACGAGGACAAAATGAACATGTTTTTTTAAGAAAAAGAAACCAGATCGTACTATTCGCCACATGTTCTAGCTCACTACAAGGCAAATAGCACCCTTCTCCTATTGCATCATCATCATCATCATCATCATTATCATCTTCCCACCACTTCTCCTAATAAGGGTTGCGGTGACACCAGACTATGAAGGTCAACTCAGCTCAGCTATCCTTTTCCATGGCCATTGACAGGCTCATTCTGGGTTATCCCTAAACATTCCCAATGCCAACTGAGAGCTATAATCCATCCAGCATGACTACAGGTGAGGACAGGGACACAGACTGACTGGTAAACTGCAAGTCTCACCATATAACTTGACCCCCATTTATCCACTAGAGCTCGCCAGGGCCTGAAAAACTGCAGACTCCAAACCGAGCCGCCTATCAATCTTGTTTTCACTCATAAAGAGGATCCTGAAATGTTTAGGCTCCTTCACTAAGTACAGACTGCCTCCTCCAATCTGAGAGGCGCAGTTGACTATTTTCAGAGAGTTGGAGACACTGATTCTTATCCCCGCTTCTTCACATTTGGTATCGATTCCCTTTAGTACAGGCTAAAGGTCGTGATTGGATGAGGCAAAAAAGCACATCATCATCTGTGAAAAGCAGGTGTGTCCCTTGTAGCCTCCCGTACTGGACACCTCTTCAGCTCCGCCTGTGCTTTGAATTCCTGTGCATGAAAATCCTGAACAGAAGTGGGGACAAGATGCACCTGTTTTGGATGCCAACAACCTCTCCAAGTGGGTTAAATTTTGTGCTAAGGATGCGGCCACAACTCTTACTGCACTGGTGGATCTGAAGAGCTCTCAATAACAGTCTAGACTTCCCATATTGCTGCGAGCCCTCCCACTGCATGCGCCCAGACCTCCAGTCACATGCCTTCTCCAGGTCCACAAAGCACATGTAGGCTGTGGCAGCACCCAGGGATCCTCACTCAGTGATCCTCAAAGTGAGCCCCACTGATCCATTGCCAGGCCGGAATCCACAATCCTAGGGGAGTCTTCTGTCCAGCACCTCCGCTAGGCTCTCCCAGGAGCACTGAGAAGTAAGATCCCTCTATAGCTGGAAGACACCTTCTGATTCTCCTTTTTAAAAATAATGATCGCCACCTCAGGACAGATGTCATCGCCCCCTGCAGCCTTTCCTCTACCACTGAAGTAACTTCAGTCAGAACGATAGGATCCTGCTTTGCCTCCTTGCTCCTCAAAGCATTCCTTCCAGTGCTTGACAATATCTCCGAAGTTGGTCAGCAGCTCCCCACTACGGCTGGAGAAGCAGGGGAAGTTTTTTTCTGGTTTTGTATCGTACATCTTCTGCAACACAGATTGGCTAGACATTCCCCGCAACCCCTGCCTGCTCATCTGGCCTCCTTCCCACATCCCAACTCACTACTATCCCCTATAAACCTGGTCATTGATCTTTGACTTGGGGTGCTGTTTTATCATGTATACTTATGGACATCTGTGTGCTTTAATATGGCTTTCACTGAAGTCCAATAACGACCCAGCACTTGGCTTTTGATCCACGAGGCTATTCTTCCTAATCTCAGCCCTACAGCCATCACCATCATTCTTCACGAGTACTGAAGTCTCCCAGGAGGACCACAGAATCTCTAGGTCCTCAGCCACCCTCTGTAAGAAGGCTGTGCGCTCCACACTGCTGCGTCACACTCAGCCTTGTGAGCATCCCCGCAGATACCTGAGGTCATTCACCACAGGGATCTCCAGAGTTGGAGGGACTGTCACTGATCAAGAAGTCTGGCAAGGTTGAGTACATCTAGCTGATGCCTTGCTATCTCCCACAATAGCTTGGGCTCCTACCTTTCCAGAGAGGTGAAGTTCCACCTTTTATTACAAGAAATTGAAGAGGACATAGAAAGCAAAGCCTAAGCAATCTTGAGCTTCTTCCAGCTGAAACCTGTTTTGGATATTATTATGCACATTTTGTCACGGTCAATAATTATGGTGGAAGGGAGGCTCCTCACAACCTTAGTTTTCAGAGTGAATGACGATCATGTGCTATCGACTGACACGCCGGCTTTCGTTCATGTCCTGCCCACTCACCTCGGTCACCACTGTGCTGGAGAAGATCTCCTTGCTGTACTCCCAGCCCCCTGCACAGCCCTCTGTCGTGTGGTTCTTGCTCAGCACTAGGGCCTTGCTAAGGTTGGCCAGCTCTTGGGTATCGAGGGCTGTGCAGGAGAGGTCAGGACCCCCCCCTGGTCCAGCAGCTTGGCTGATGTTCAGGGGGAGGGCCTGGTTACCTGCCAGCGGCCATCTGGAGCGACATATGTGGGGGGGCACAGCCCCAGTGAAAACAGACACGAGCGTGTGGCATGCCAGGAAGATCTGTGGAAGGCACATCCATACGTGCAGGGTCTTCTGGAAGTTTCCAAAGCTGCCAATCTTGTCGAGAATATCATCAAAATTCATGGCTGGTGCTTTTTTTTCCACTTCTCCTCCTCTGGAAGCAAAGCAGTGGCTGCAAGCGAAGGAGTAGTCCGAATCTCACCGAGGGAATTATAAAGACATGATTGAATCAGTGCTCTAAAAGAACCTAAAAGAGAGGCACCCAAGCGGCTGAGATGGAATCCAGAGAAGGCTGCTCGTCTGGCTGCTCAGGTTCGAGCGATGTGCCTATAAAGCCAGTTAAGCTTGAGAGTCATCACACCTGCGGTTCGATCGCAGAGAGGGTGCAAGGGATGCCTTCCTGCGCGCACCGGCAATGTGCACTGCACACAGACATATGACTCTCTTCTGCTGGGAGTGACCTGGCTCCTAGGTGGAGTCATCACAGGGGAAGGGCTTTCTGCTCTAGAGGAATAAAAGTGCCGTGCTCATTTGTGCATGATGTTCTAAGAGAGAGAGAACCGTCAACAAAAAGGTTGAAAGAATCACCAAAAAGATGATGTGAGCGTTCCGGAGGCTATTAAATATGAACCGTGTGGTTTGTGCTCTTGTAATACGAGTCACTGGATTCCAGTGGCCAGTTGCACGAGTGTCGCTCTTAAGGATGCATCGCAGGTTGAATTTGTGTCTGTTTTGGGAATCGTTTTTTCACACATTGACATGCAGATAGTCAGTCAATCCATTGGGTGACATACAGTATGCAGCCATATAGGACACCATCTTCTGAGGGCCCCCCCCACCTCCTCCCTTCCCAGGCAAGGTCAAGTTTCTGGGCGGGGGGGGGGAGGGGGGTGCCACCAATGGTTCCCAAAGATGATCAGAGCTGAAATTGTTAGATTAACTAAACTTACATAGACAATATGCCATCAAAGCATGACCATTATCTGGACAACACACATAGTTTACACACACGCAACAAACAAAAAAAATCTATAAATTCTCCTTCTGTAGAAAAGAAGCCATAGAATACAAAAACCCAGGGGGTGACAGAGCGATCTGTGTAATTAGCATATATGTAAATTATGATGCGTTTTTTCACTGGCATCACTAAGTTGCACTTTAACTGGCCTGAAACTGCTCGTCACTCTCGGTCTATGCGTGTGACTTCTGACTGAGAGGGTCTCAGTCTCACTCTGACATGGATTCCCACAATCCATTCAGCCACACCGATCTCATCCTCCAGGGGCCAGAACTGAGCAGACTGGGCTGAACCCTCAGCATTAGTAACTGCTGTAGGTCGTCAAACACAATCTTGCTGAAGATGTGGAGCGTCTTGTAAGTACCTGTTATGTTGCATTCGCTCTCCAGCCGACGGTAGGCAGCGTAAATGGATGCCGTGCACCTCTGGAAATACGTCACATGCAATATTTGTCAAGGCAGCTATTCATTTCCCGACCCGGTTTTTCAGGACTTTCAATAGGACTTTCAAGCCTGTTCTGGATGCCAGGACTGATGACTCCTAATTCATTGGGAAAAGGATGTTCAACCCTTCTGTTTAGCTGGCTAACTTGATGCAATCCAATGTGTGCTCACTTTAATGTGAAATTGCATAATGTATAAATCTGAATAAAGCACAAACTCTACATCGATACTGAATTTCTATACAGCAGGAATATTCCATGCCTACCCATGACCCTGTCCAGGACAAGTGGTTGGAAGATGGACTGATATTTCATTCTTATACACAAGTGTTAATGCGACTGTATGGACACAAATAAATAAACGATAGAAACTGTGGAAGCACAGGTAATAAAAATAAATACTGCATTATATCTTATCAATAACAGCTTTCAGCACATATCATAAAGCTTGCTAAAGCTGAGCTGTGTCCATTAACTCCCAGCAGTGCCTCTGCTCAAGCTCTCAAAATAGTCTCCAGCTTCCCACAAAGGAGTGTGTTATTCCGAACAGGAGCATACACTTCTGGGTAAACCCCCAGTACTGCAGGAGGCAGTGAAAGAGCAGGGCAAACCAATGGTAAGGTGTTCCCCAAATGGGTCGAAGTTCAACTTCTTCCAGAAGATCAGGCCACACCTCCAGCCTGCCTGGCCCCAGAGACACTGGCCCCTGAAGAGCTGATAATGAAGGGGTAAATATGTGAACCCCGACATGGGGGGGGGGGACCACGGAGAGGCCAGGCCTGCTGGGTCTGCACAGCAAAGCGGACAGGAGACCCAAAATGGTAGATGGCAGTAACCATGGAGACGAAGCTGAGAACGTAAAAAAAACCCCATGGGTGAGTCAATGGCGGGAAGCTGCTCTCTGCTGCAGAACAAGACAAACTGGCAGAGGTTCCACCACACTCGGCGCAAAAAACATCTATCTGTGAGTTTCACCCCTAAATCAAGAGGTCCACTGGCACAACAGAAAGAGTAAGATGGCATTAAATATGTATATGAAACAAAGAAAGCTATTCTGGTTTTCTTCCATGGGTATTAGAAGGTTGGTTTAATTCACGCACTTTATTGTCATTGTGCAACACAACGAAATTACTATTGTGACAAGGTGCATTAATAAATACAAAATCAAGCTAAATAAGAAAAAAAAAATGAAAATAAGATAATCGTACAAAATATGTCAGAGTCTGCAAAGATGCCATATACTGTACAATGCTGAATCTTCCAACAGATTATCACTACCCAGAACAGATGACTACTGCCCAGCAACATAAATTATTCCCATATTGCACATATTAATAAACAGCAAACAGTGTATTGTACATCCAATATAACTTATTGTATGCATTCCATGAGAGATTATTTCAGACTGCTCCAGGGACGGAGGAACTCAGAGAAGCAAATTTATACAATCCATCCATCCTTATTCTAGCTGCTTCTCCTGGTGAGGCCTACCTAGGCAGCACCGGGCACAGGGAAGGCGTGCCCACTGGACGGGATGCCAGGCCATCACAGGACAAACCTGCACATTTTTTGGATGGCTGAAAAAGCCTCACTACACACACAACCCTACAGGAGACTAAAATACTTCACGAAAAGTCACTCAATAATCACACTCCACCATAATTTCAGCAAAGAAAGAACACTGAATTGCTGAATCAGGCTCCTTTCAGAGAGGCAGTGCTGCTTTGTAAGTTCTGCACAGAAGCACAGCTGTAGTTAATGGCTTGTGACTCGCGGGCCATGCTTTGGTAGGTGCGGTACTTCTTCTGTGTGAAATGCGCCGGGGCGAGCATAGGAGTGTCCCTGAAGGTTTTCCAATAAGCCCCCAGGGCCCTGAACCACACACAAGAGACATGACTCCCAGTCGGCACGGTTCCTTAAACAAACAAACAGTGACTTCTAAGTGTGGCCATGTCATCTGGCCAAAAAAAAAAGGTGACATACCACTGTCAGTTTCAGGTGCTAATGACGAAGATGGATTTTACACCTTTTACTACCATTGCAAAAAGTAAAACATCTCTCCATCTTTACACTAGTTTCCAGTCATTTATAACCACCTCATTTGACATGCTTGCTGTGCTCTTAATGTGCCCAATGAATTAATTTTAGCTCCAGGAAGCACCATTCACCACATAAGCAAAACTGGGTGAAATCAGGGTCTCACCCGGTTCTATGTAGTATTCTGTTGTACTTTGTCTACTTTGATTAACATGATTCTCTATTTAATTTTGACAGGACCTTAAATGTCCTTTTGCATCCCTAAGGGGTGTCACCAACCGTGAGCTTTAGGGAGCACTAACACAGAAAGAAACTTAACACATATATATCGCTGGTCTTCACTGTGAAATGAATTCAAATCCCACTTCTCACATTTCAGCAATCTGCACAAATTCAAATTGTTTGTTCATTCCTTTGTTTTGTTTTGGGCTTACTGCGGCCTGCACTCCCTATGTGGTAAAAGACCACTAGCACAGTTCTGTTATGTGAAGCTCTGCAGTGCTTTTCGAGCAAATCGTTCTGATTATGTTCATGCTTTATTTAAGTTGCAATTGTAGCGCATGTACTGACGAATAAACAGTTTTAACTAAATATAGTCAGTGACCTCAGAACAATAACATTCTCTTGCTGACTGACATGGCCGTGGCGACCGGGTGATTGGCAGATCCCACAGTAACACCACGTTTACCCCACACACAGTCTCTCTGTCATCTTTCCAGTTACCCCCCTCCCACCTCAACATCGCACAACAACATGAAAATGGGATGTGCGAGATATTCCTGGTGCACAGCCCGAAACATCCTGAAGATGGCGCTATGTCTAAGAGCACTCAGTCACACACTACAGAAACTCGGTCCGCCGAAAGCGGACATCTTTGGACTGCGGCAGGAAACCAGAGTATCGGGGGGAAACTTCATAGAGAGAATCTACCGACAAGAGCCCAGGGGGAACATTCAAGCTGCACACACAGCAGTAGTGTAAGAGTCAAACCTTCAGGCCTGTAGATGACAAAGGTCAATAGGATTCACTGAAGCACCATGCTGACCTCCAATATGAGTGATAAAATGCATACAACTGAAGATTGTGCTTTTCCGGAGCAAAACTTTTCGAATGAAAATAACTCTGCCGTTCCTCTATCCTCCAGATAGCTTAGCTTCCTCCAACCGTCTAAAGTTGGGCTGGAGTCCTTAAAAGGATCCTAATTGAGTGTGAGGGCCCTTTAATGAGATGGGGCGCCGCCCCGGGTTGTCCCGGGCCTGGGAAATGATTCAGAGACATGGGGATTCTGGATCTGAAGAGCACTGATGGGAAGTGAATTAATTATTCAGGCATTTTCCCCCTTTCGTGAACTCGAAAACTGTGACCGGGAGAAAAAGATGTGCGGAAAAGATTTTCAAAAAATGAAAACGTCATAATAAAAATGATGCTTTCAGAGAGAGAGAGACATCAAATTAAAATTTTAGCAACAGTAAACAGCACAGCCCCAAAGCCTAGAAAAAGGCAGGACTATTTCATGGAGAATGTAAAGATTTGCCAGTTCGCGCCACATGACCCGGTATTTAAAGGATAAGGCTACAGTGTAGCAACATACACAGACCACAGCTGTGGCTCTTTGAGGGAAGAGGGAAATATTTCACGTTTGGACCTGTGCAGCAGGCGAAGGTGTCTCTGCCTGGGAGACAGAGGGGGGCTTTGTGCCCCTCCGCTAGGTCAGCCCTCTCTCCTTCTCTCTCCCCCTCCCACTCGCTCTCTCTCGAACACACACAACACGCTCGTTCAAACGCTGTCCGACGCGAGCGCTAATAAGATGTCCTCGCTTCTACAGAACACCCTCCTGTTCATGCTGGCGCAACAGGTAGGAAACGGCAGATATATCTTCTCTGGCATGACTCACAAGTGGCAGCTGTGTGGGATGCCCCTCCAGATGCGTTAAGACAAGGTGGCGGGGGGGGGGTACTTTTATGACACTTGACACCCTTGTCTTTTAACGATGGGATCAGACAGGGGAAGGTGTTGACATGCTTACAGCAAACAAATTAGGCACAAGGGAAAAGAAGAAGAGTTTGGCAGACACTGACATTCAGAATGGCACAGAAACAGCATGTACAAGCAAACACTCCGGAGGATGACGTAAACAAACGGTGTCACTCTAGAATGACAGAATATTACATTTGCTAGGATACTTCAGTGGACTGGAAACAAAAATATTATTTAAAGGCTATGAGATGTTTTTTTTCTCCAGTAGAGATGGATTGAAAGCTGAGTGTATGGTGGGACTGGTGACTAAAAGGCTGCACTTTGGGGGTGGGGGTCAGGTTTAGGATGGATGCTGACTAAAGAGAGGTGGTTGGGGGGGGGGGGGGGG